TTACTCATGGGAGTTAAAGGGTTGAGTGCAATTTGATAAAATATTATGACCATTATCACCCTCTTCTAAAACTGCAGCATTCAAGATCTTGCAAAAGAAGTTACCTTCAGGCTAGTCAAGTCTTAAGTTAAATTTAACTTTCCTAAACATAGTTTGCACAGTGATAATGCTGATAGCACTTAGCAAATTTTCACTAATCGTGAAATCCTGTTAGTTGATAGTGAGTCACTAGTAAGAGAAATATTGTTGAATACTGTTACTACTTTTTTGTATGAATGTATAGGAGCAGTTGTGATCACAGATGGTGTTTTTGCCCTTCCTGATGCGATTACAGTTGATTCTCTCTTGGCACAGCTAAGAGCCAGTACTGTGTGCTGTTCTTTTATTAAAGTTGGAAGTGGATTTCATGCCCACTGCAGGTTGATCCTCTTAGATATTCAATTTAAAATCCTATACTAGTGTTGACTTTGTTGTTGTTTGTTTAGATTCAGTGTGTTTCACAAAAGATTCCCAGTTTTTTGTAACAGTATTATTGACCAAACTGTATCTAAATGGCTATTTCCCATTTTATGTTTTTTTTGCAAGTTTTATTCAGTGGAGTTTATTGTTATCATGTGTTAATTAACTTTCAAGTTCTTCTTTATAATTATTAAACACTTTAACTCCCAAGATTTCATTTGTAATTCTCCTTGCTGTCTGCCAAACAATTAATGTGATTTTAGTTTGGAGAATTTGGAATTGGATCAACCAATAATCCCCTCATTGATATTTTTCTGTATTCTCTTTACTTGTCTGCTTGATATCATATTGATAGTGTAGGGAGAAATTCCTTCTAGGTCATTAGTGGGACATAAAGGGTTAATAATCATTTCCTTTATTGGCATAGCCTCAATGTGATAGAAATCAAGAGAAATTAGATGCTAGTCACTCTTAGAGGTTACAGGGTTAGTGGCAATTCAAGCTGGCCACCAATACAATTAAATTTTAGCTCATGTGCAACCAACTTTATTTTTTTTTCCTTCAAGCCTTGGTTATGTTCCACACTGTGATATGATGCAGTTTATCGCCATGGCCAGTTCAGGTGCATACCTTGCAAAGGCACCCCCAGTGAGTAGAAGACACTGTGCATTGTTGATTTCAATAGAAGATGATACATTAAGTTATTAGGAGACCTTGGTGTCTTCTTTTTTCCTCTTTTTTGCTTTGGCATAGAAAGCTTCCTGCCAAGCTACATGCAATGAAAAACTGTTGTTGAACCTTGCTGTCCATTGTTTAACACCAATTTGCACAGCATTAATCTGTTAGATACTTAACAAGGACTTCTTGCAGTTTCAGGGGTAAAACAACCTATATTTTCTATGAATTATGATTTCAGCTGTGTCTTTCAAAGATCATTATGATTTTCTTTAAGTTTAAGACATATGTCTTACAAACTGAGTTTGAGGCCCGCACAGTGAAATACAGCCTACTTAATTGACCAATCATAATGCACATAATAACTGAAAAATGTAATAATTTTCCAATATTTCCAGGTTTCAAAAGATGGTAAAAGAGTGGAAGAAGGTAAAAAAATCTTAATTTTAAAATCTAAAAGCAAATTTTCCTGGATGACGAGAGAGTGTCAAGTTCCTTAGATGTGTTGCGTCAATTGATATGTTCTGGTTAAAATAATTAATTTTCGTACCATTTTGATCTATGAATTCCTTTGTGTGACCCTTTTACCATTAGAAGTGATTAAAATGTAACTTCATCATATAATATCTGAGATATTTGTCTTTTTTGTAGAGGATTTCAGCATGAACCTTTATCACAAAGCTCTACTTTGCTGGAACTTTCAGAGAGATTTTGACCTGAGCAAGATTGATTCCTGGATGGGTAATGTTGCTGTGACAATTGCATAATTGGCTAATTATTTTGAGCATACGTAATTAAATCATAATTTTGTTTCCTGG